GGAGGCGCCGCGCCCGAGGCTGTGCGGGCAGCTCCGCGGAGCCAGGCGGCGCCGGCCGACCCGGGTTCGAGAGCTGGAGGATCCAAATCGCGCCGCAGCGGGACTGTGCGGCGAAACCTCCCCCCAAAAATGAACGAACGGGACACCGCTGACAAATACGTCAGCGGCCTCCGCCGCGGTCCAGGAGAGTCTCCGCTAGAACCATCAGCGCTGCCCCTGTGGCTTCGCGTCTCCCGAAGTGGAAACATGGGGATCCCGCGAAGTCCACGGCGACAACCAGCGGCGAAGCGAGCCCGGGAGCTCCCGGAGGAACGGGGCAGAGCGCGCTTCCATCCCCGCGTCACTTCAAACTTAGCGGCTTCTGGGACTTCCCGGGAGGGCGGCGGAGCAGCGCCGGCGCGGACTAGCGGAGGCGGGAGAGCCACGGCCAAACACTGCAGGACGCGGGGCTGACCCTCTTCCTTCAGGACTGTCCCACTTGCACCCCTGCCCTGCCGAGCTGATGGGACCCGCTAAGGTCTAGGAGATCAAGGTTTGCAGTTCCCCTGGGACCGCAGTGGAGAGAGATGTTGAGTGAGAAAGTCGAAGACCTTGCCTCGCTCTACTAAATAACTTTTCTTTTTTCTTTTCTTTTCCTCCCCCCCGCCGCGCCCCCAGTGTTGGGATCGAGGTGAGGAGGGGGCGCACCGACCCCGCGGCCAGGCGTGCGGAGCTGGGCCCAGGGCAAAGTTCTCGGTGCTTCCTGGGCGTGTGTGCGGTTTGCTTGAGGATGAAACCCGCGTCTCCTCGGTGTGGGGAGGAACGTGTAACTTTTCAGCGTTCTTTTATGTTGCAAGCCTTCCCATGCATTATTCATCGTAGTGTTTGCAAGTGTTTTCTTCTGCTTTCACATCTCCTCTCATCTCTAGAAAGCGCCCTGAAAAAGCCGTGTACCTCTCACTCCCAGGCACATGGATGTTTGCTCCTTTCCCTCCTGTGCAGGCTGGTGCGAGTTTGCCAGTGGAGAGGAAGAAGAAAGCTTTGTTTCATACGCTTTTCAGTGGGAGGTGGCAGGACTTTCAAGGAAAGGCTAGGATATTATTTTCCCTAAGGATCTTTCCTAAAGTTAACAAAGGGTAATTTTTATTTTTATTTCCTCCAAGGGAGGGGGGAGGGGAGCCTCTGAAAACGAGGGAGATGGCAATTTCTAGATGGCAAATTCTAGCTAATTATTACTACAATTAGCTGAAAGTGCTATACTTTTATGAGCTAAAACTAATTTCTTGTAAAATAGGGTCTCTTAACACAGGAACATCTAAAGAGAACTAAAATTTATTTCAATGATTTCGTTTTTACCTTTCTCAATATATCTGCCTAGACTGTCTTAATTTATCCCCTAATCCAATGTTTATGCCAAATCGCCTTTATAATTATGTCAAGCTTCTATCTCTCCCAGATTGTTATGGTCATAAATGTTGGACTGGGTTCCCACAGTAATCCAGAATTTGAAAAAAAAAGTTGAGTATTTTGCTGATTTCAGACAATAAATGGAAATATGAATGTTTCACAATTAAGATGATGAATAACAAAAGTAACCTGAGTTTCTGGTTATATTATTATTTAGCATTGAAGTTTCTTCTAAGGCAATGAAAAAGGCAAGATATACTGTATTTTAAAATTGTAATTAACAGTTTATTTGCTTACTCCATGAAATTTCTTATATCTGTGGATTGAAGTATGTGATAAATTGTCATTAATTCATTTTTGTTTGATGTATACTTCATGAAACTTATTTACAGTGGCATTATCTCCAAGTTTCCTGGGCCACTATTGTAAAAAGCTTTTGATTCCTTTTACAAATATAAAAAGTTCTACATTTATTCAAGACTGGAAAATGATATAATGAACCAACAGAGAAATACATGTTTCTGAATTGAAGAAATAACATTAAAAGAAAAACATAGTTAAAATAGGCTAAATGAAATCCAAACACCAAGACTTTTTAAAAAAATAACTACCGCAGTTGTACCCTATATAGTTTTAAAATACAAAAAAGAGATCTGATTATCTTAGAAACATGTTCTGATGTTGTACCTGACTCTAAAGCCCTAAGGTACAAATTGCTTTGGCAATTAGACTTGAAGACCCNCTCTAAAACCCTAAGGTACAAATTGCTTTGGCAATTAGACTTGAAGACCCAGCATATTTCAGCCATCAGTAAACAGATTTCTCATTTATTCTGGACATCCTCCCTCCCAAATCAGACTTATTTACTATTTAGCCTTCTTCCAAGATCCATCATTTTTCTCTTTTATTTTTAAATAAAAATTTAAAAGTTATTGTTTAAGGATGTTTTTACTTGCTATTGTGCAAAATATACATTTACTTTCTTTCTGTATTTTTGTGATATTTTTAAAACGTTACGGATCGTATAATGGGGTAC